GTGTGTGTGTGTGTGTGTGTGTGTGTGTGTGTGTAGAAAGAGATAAAACTCGGAATATGGTATTTGGTTGAAGACTCCAGCTGCTTTCCAGTGTATTTATCACAATAGTTGGAAGCCAGAAAACCTGTTGCTCTGATCAGGATGTTTCAGCCTTCCCCAACTGGATGACCTGTAGATATTAGGGCCGCAAGTCTCATTAAATCCTAGCCAGTGAAATTAATACCTGTAGAGCACATCAAACTGGGAGAAGTCAGATTAATCTCTTGCCAATGAAGATATTTTGCTTTTCCATACAATTATGCATCTAGGATTATTTGGAATGAAATTTCAACAGCAAGAAAAAAAGAAAAAGCAAGGAGAAGCAGCTAAAAATGCATCTGAAAACCAACCAGTTCATGGGGAAACTGCAGTAGGTCCTTAAACATTTCCAGTTTTTTGAATGCAAGCTTACTTCTCCCTATTGGGGGGGTGGGGGTGGGAGGAAGTCCAGAAAATGTTTTCATTTCAGCAATTTGAAAATGAAGGGACAATGTTTACAACCAGAATCTACCTCCATACTCTTTACTGAAATGATGTTTTAGAAGGAATTGCCTTGTACAATAGGAAAGCTAGGATTGTAGCTAGGAAAACTACATTGTAGCTAGGAAAGCTACGCGGGGCGACTTCCTCACAATGCTTTCCTTGCTTCTTGCTGAAAAGTACTGGCGTAAATGTATTGATCAAAACCCTCAGAACCCTACACTGTTGGGGTTCAAGTGGTGCATCAATAAGAAGTTTTAAAAGCACTCAGCTTCTATCTAGAGGAAGGAAAGGCAGATAAAGAGTCAGTAAAAAATGAATGTATTCCTCATATTCTGAAGAACATCCCACACAAAATACTAAAATGGAATGTCTTTCCAAAGCAGGATAGGTTTGCTGCTTAATAGAAGCCCAATGAACATGCAGATACTAAAAGAATGACAACTGAAAGAAAATAGACCTTTGGAGGACTCCACACTTTCTCCCCCTGACTTGGAAGGCCAATATTCTTGTCCTTATCAATGGGGCACCCTGGCAAAACAACTCAGTTCCTTTGGTGTTTTGCAGTAAATTGGCCAAGCTTTCTGGATCCCAGTCATTTAGCAAAACCAGCAACCAAAGAGCTCCTTTTGTGACCCCAAATGAAACTATTGTATGAAAAAAGCTCAGGGAATAATCAGGAAACAGATATTTCTATGGAAGGACTATCGTTTCTGTTCAGTTCTGATACTGGAAGCACACTTCTGAAGGGAGGATTTTAAGGTCCAGGCATTGTGGTAGCCCTAGTTGATGGTTTCTTTCAGATTCTTCCTACAAAGCCTGAACAATGCCTATTTTTTAAATGAAGGACAGGTATATGGCAACCTGTTAGAAAAGGCACGAGTAAAGAACTAACCAGTAGGTGGCGCTGTAATCTACTAAATTCCTCCTAAACATTTTGACAAACTAACCCCATAAAAATACATGCTGTCCCAAACGATTATTTTTGGGAATGATGATGATGATGAAGAAACTGATGATACTTTGTTACCTAGCTTCACAGAATGGGCTCTACAATGGTTAGAGATATCATAGCACCATCAGCCTCTTGGGGATTCGGTAATTAATTGCTTTCGTGCAGTCGTTGCTTCTTCCATTACAAGCGTACAAAGGCTATTTCAGGCTTTTACAGGTCAAGCAAATCATGGCTTAACACAAAGAGCTGCAATCATATAAAATGCTTAATGTCTGAGCAGCTACATTCACATAGCATACTCAGCTCAATTTTTATTAACCTTGGCTTCGTGAACGTTACAAACCCAGAACATTTGGTTAGTTAATGGTTAAGTACATTGTGCAAAGTGAGAAACTGGCTTAATCCCATTTACCAGGTTTAAGTGTGATCACAACCAGTGTGACCAATGCAATCTTATGCAACCTGGTACTCTCCAGATATTTGGGACTGCAACTCCAACCATTATGTCAAATACTTCTGAAAGTATCAATTTGGGGTGAAGCTAGGTTGTTACTCTGGTTAAAAAAAAGCAAAAGGGACAAATATAAACTCAGATGTTTGTTGCCATTCAACTGCTATGCCTCTGGACCTTATTCCTTCACTCCTGCACACCCTGAATCCAAAAAAGCTGAATGTGGCAATCAGTTCTATGAAAGCTGACTCGTGCTCCAGAGTTATTTCAATGGTCAAACTACAAGGAATCCATTCCTCACTTGTGTGATTATAAACCATCTCAGCTAAAAAGAAAGCAAGTCACATATTTGTGTGCCAGCTGGTATGCAGACAGTATGCCTCATCCCTATTTCTGCTGAAAAATTCAGATATACTACTGTACAAGAAATTAATCACAATTTAGAATCCAGGACAATTATAAAAATGAGTCTGAAAACCCCAGGGAGGAAAACACTCTCTCCTTTGTTTTACAATCCTAAAATAAGGGATTTTTGATTATATTCTGGTGAAAACCAGGCTTCCTTAAAAGTTAAACAGGGATTTTCCAGGGAGTTCTCCTGTTTTCTGCACTGTACAGCTGCTGAAAATAGGAATATTGTTCTAGCGCTTCCTCCTCATGCAAGGTGGCACAGTATGACCTCATCAACCTGGCCAGGGTCCATCTGAACTATATGTGCTCTCTAGAATGTGACCCAGCTGCAGAAAGTTCAGAAGTCAGATAAGAAGATGTGGGCTGGACAAGCTAAAAGCTGGACAAGCGCTTTGCTGGAAACTCAGAGGGAAGCTGACTGGCAACTTGGATAGCCAGAGTGGAATCCACTGAAGGAGCATATTTTGGCCACCAAGTCCCTGATGGAAATTGTTTAGAAATCAGAATCTTTGGAGATGCAGTTGACCAGAAGCACATAACATGGAGCCAACTGCAGATGGAAAGAATTAAGAACAAGGATTATTGAAGGCAAGCTTTTGTGTTGGCAGTGACCATTTTGGGGCACTTCTGTAGGAACAGCCCATGATATGGAGAAAAAGCTGCAGCAGGCTAGAAGATGCTTGTCCATCCTCTGTGCATCATAGCTTTATTCTGAAACCAAGTTTATTTTCTGCTATGAGTAAATTTCTTTTAGCATGACTGCTCCTTTCCAGTAAACTCACTAAGGAAAAAGTAACACTGAAGTTCTTCCAGTAAAGGATATCTCACTGTAACTACTTCTCTCTTGGACACACGCAAGCCTTTCATTAGCTAATAGTCCATAAAATGTTGGAGAGAGTGAATTCTTTTAATGTGGCCATTCAGGATATTCCCCTTTGTTCTTCTGCAGTGTAGGCAAGTGCACTCAACACCAGCAGCAAAGTCACAATGTAAAAAGGATTTTCAAAAAGAAAAACTCCCAAACCTACATGCTATCCGAACATAGGCTCGACGACTTTTTGTGGTTCCAGCAGAACTCCATGCCACACACTGACACCAGTAATCTTCTAGGCCAAAAAGTTCCTCCACTTGCTGGCGAGAGACTTCAATCTGGACTTCTCTTACAAGGAGCCCTGGAATCAAATAAATTCAAAGAAGTGAATAATTATGGGAGCGGGGGAGACCTGGAGCTGAGAGAGCTAGGCTTATATGAAATTATTATATGAAATGATTATGGAGAAGGCAGGAATGCACATTCACATCTCAAAGGCAAATGGAAAGGGGAGAAAAAAACTTTTTCCCTCTTGTACTGAGGTCTGCAGCAGTATTCTCTCTATGGATCAATGTACCATAAACAAAAGCTTTGTTACTGGTATATTTGAATTTTGCATATGTTTGAGCTTTGTGTACAACACACACAGTTTACATATAATAATAAAAAAATGTTCCTATTATATTGTCGAAGGCTTTCACGGCCGGCATACGATGGCTGGTGTGGGTCTTCCGGGCTGTGTGGCCGTGGTCTTGAAGTCTTGTTTCCTAACGTTTCGCCAGCACCTGTGACCGGCATCTTCAGAGTGCAGGAGCACAGATAGGACAATTTCTCTCTGTGCCCAGAAAGCTGCTCCTGTCTGTCCTCCTGCACTCTGAAG